GTTATGAATTACTTTCCACGGAGCTTTTGTTTTATTCTTAGCATTCTTAATCTTATTGCCAATATAAAGTGATTTAGCTTGCTTACAGACTTTTTTAAATATTTTTGAATATTTGGACACATGCTTGCTGAAGGTCCCTGTCCCTGTCCCTGTCCCTGTCCCTGTCCCTGTCCCTGTCCCTGTCCCTGTCCCTGTCCCTGTCCCTGTCCCTGTCCCTGTCCCTGTCCCTGTCCCTGTCCCTGTCCCTGTCCCTGTCCCTGTCCCTGTCCCTGTCCCTGTCCCTGTCCCTGTCCCTGTCCCTGTCCCTGTCCCTGTCCCTGTCCCTGTCCCTGTCCCTGTCCCTGTGTCCCTGTCCCTGTCCCTGTCCCTGTCCCTGTCCCTGTCCCTGTCCCTGTCCCTGTCCCTGTCCCTGTCCCTGTCCCTGTCCCTGTCCCTGTCCCTGTCCCTGTCCCTGTCCCTGTCCCTGTCCCTGTCCCTGTCCCTGCCCCGTAACTATTCTGGTGTTGCGACTGTCCATGGGTGGCAATAATTGCTTACCTACAGGTAATGCGTCGCGTTCTCTAATCTATATAGTATATGTCGGAGATTCGCTACCAGTGGGTCGCGACATTATCAAATCACACAATATTATTCAAGGAATATAACTACAGCACAATAACAGTGAGAACGCAGGAAGTTTAGCGGGGAGTAACCACAGAGTACATTTTAGTAATAGGAAAGGAGTAACGCTTGTCGCTCCCGCCAACGCCGCGATCTTTCCAAAAGTGTTTCCCGCGCACAGTGACGTCTGTCAATGTCATTCGCTGTCAAATGTCAAAGTATAATTAATCTTCCGGATCGATATTCCATCGGTGTTGCCATTACTCCGCGCTAACCATCCTCAAGTAATTACTTGACGTTTTAACAATAGTTGCCACATGTAAATCGATTGATATGCGTTGTCGCTTCGACATATAAAATAGTATTAAGCTGTAGAGTATTTTTTTTTGTTTTACTTGCAATAAACTAGTGCTTGACTGCGATCCCGCAACCGCAAGAAAACCCGCAAGGCTGGCTACTCTGCGCCTGTGCTCGAGACTTTGAAGATTGGACCCAACCAAATCTGGATCTCCAATCATCCTCTTTGCACGCCTTTCCACTGAATCCAAAGCCGCTAGGTGGCATGTTTGTTTCTTTTTTTGAACGCGTTAATCTCCAGAACTACGGCTTCGAATTGAATAATACTTTAAACTGTTTGTTGGTCCATTTATCGAGGAAGGCTTTAGGCTAAGTGAAACATCACGCTACGATATGTAGGAGCGTAGCAGCGGATAAGACCGCGGACCGCGGGACTGTCATATATGTATAAAATTTTGGATTCAAGTTCATTGATTGATTAAATCCCCAGTCGCCACAAATACTCGAAACGCAACGAACTAAATAATCTAACAACCAATTACGACCAAAACGACCTATTTCCTCTAAACCATAAAAAATTAACAATCTAACCCTAACGATCAATTTAGCAGGCCAATTAAGTCGAATATAGAATTGTCCCTTGCAACTTGGTGCAGTAGGTCTTAGGCTGGCGGAAGGAGAGGACCTCAGGAAAGATGCTGGGTATCCTGCCGTTTTTTGTGGTGAGTTCAACTTCTCCAAGTTTTTAGTTAGCCTTTAAACATTTAGAAAACTACCTGATGGTAAGCAATCGGCACCGCCCATGGACGCGAGCAGCACCAGTAGATGTACGAATACGTTGTCGGCCTTTTGGAGATTGGGATTTTGGAGATTAAACGATTTAGAGGGGGATGGGACACGTGACACACAACGTTGTGATTTTTCACCGGCTGGCTGACATTCCAAAGTTGCCCAAATAATACGGTAGTTTCAAACTAGTCAAATTTTTTTATGTAATAGGTCGGCAAACGGGCAGACGGATTACCTGATGGTAAGCAATCAGCGCCGCCCATGGACGCGAGCAGCACCAGTAGATGTACGAATACGTTGTCGGCCTTTTGGAGATTGGGATTTTGGAGATTAAACGATTGAGATTATTAATTATTACATATGTTTTCGGCTTACTCACGTAATAATTTGACGAGATACTTGGTTAGTTTCAGTAGCAGCGCGACAGTCGCCGCGTCACGTGTCGCGGAATGCTGCTCATGAACATGGGCCTCTAGCATGGTTTGAAACTAGTCGAGTATCTCGTCAAATTATTACGTGAGTAAGCCGAAATCATAATAACTAATTTAGAATAATGTCTCACGAAAGTTATAATAAAAATTTTCAAACCAGTTGGATTTCGTTTGAGGATCTGATAATGTAAAGGGCAGGTACAGCAGTATCATCAAAATTCAAGTGCGATCCAACTGCGAAGTCAGGCACGTCCAGCACTGGACAGAAACGTGCTGATGATGATGATGAAGTGCAATCCCTTAGCTAGCCACTTGCCAAACGTGGCGTTACCACATCACATCATCAGCATATAAGAGCCTACTGCTCAGCAAAGTACTCTTCTCACAAGGAGAAGGTTTGAGCATTAATCCTCGGGCTTCCACTTCAATAGTCCTAAACTGTAGTATTATTTTTTCAGATCCCCCTATTCTTGTCATCGGTTACTTCGAGTAGCAGTAAACTGCTTTTCGACTATGCAAATGTAAGTACCTATACATTCAGTCAACAAAGTATCGGGAATGAATGTTTTTTTTATGGTTCCAAATTCGATTTTTTTTTTTGTTGTTGTTAGATTGGCATAACTGTTTTCCATTTTGGCGCGGAATTTGAGTTGCATCTGTTATTTATATTAAAAACAGTGCTGTTTTTAGTTTTATAATAACTAGTGTGTATTGCGAATTTCATAATGGACAAAAACATCGAACAAAGAGTTTGTCTTAAATTTTGCATCGCCAATGAAATTTCGTGTTCGGAGGCACTCAAAATGTTACAGAAGGATTACGGTGAATCGACTTTATCAAAAACACGTGCTTATGAGTGGTACAAAGCGTTCAAAAGCGGTCGAGATGTGATGGAAGATTTGCCTCGTTCTGGTAGGCCATCAACGTCTGCAACTGAAGTTAACATCGCAAAAGTGAAGGAAATAGTGACTGAAAATCCTCATTCAAGTTTGAGAGAGATGGCCGCCGAACTTTCTGTATCTCATGAGTCGATCCGTACCATTTTAACAAATAATTTGGGTATGAAACGTGTTGCCGCTCGGCTAGTCCCAAAAGACCTAAATTTTCTTCAAAAACTAAATCGCATGAAAGTCGCTGAGGACATGCTAGAACGAGTCAATACCGACCCAACATTCATGAAACGCATTGTTACTGGGGACGAGACGTGGGTTTACGAGTTTGACATGCAAACTAGTCAACAAGCTTCGGAATGGCGCCTTCCAACTGAACCAAAACCGAAAAAACCACGTCAAAGTCGATCAAAAGTCAAAGTCATGTTGACTGTTTTCTTTGACTATCGCGGTGTTGTGCACTCAGAATTCTTGCCCGAAGGTCAAACGGTAAATAAAGAATATTATTTGAGCGTTATGCGGCGTTTAAGAGAACAAATTCGACGAAAAAGGCCAGAAATGTGGAAAGAAAATTCTTGGATTTTGCATCACGATAATGCGCCTTCGCACAAGGCCATCATTGTAAACGATTTTTCGTCCAAACACTCAACAAACACCATCGAGCACCATATTCACCAGATATGGCTCCAGCCGACTTCTTTCTTTTTCCCACACTCAAATTACCCCTTCGTGGCACCCGTTTTCAATCGTTAGAAGACATAAAAGAAAATTCGCGGCGAGCACTGAACTCAATTCCGGAAACAGCGTTTAAAAAAAGTTTCGATGATTGGATTATTCGTTGGCGTAAGTGTATCGTTTCTGAAGGAGCATAGGTACTTTGAAGGTGATAAAATAAATTTAGATGAATAACAAACATTTTGTGTATTATTGACTTTTTCCCGGTACTTTCTTGACAGAGTAGTATTTTAAAATAAATCTTCCTGAAGACCCAACAACAGCCTAGTCTTTGTGGATAACCTTAAACGCCATGTTGGACGATGGTGACCATTGCTAGTAAAGAGCCTTGAATAGTTTTCGCCATCTTAAGATAGATTTTTGACACCATCTGCATGGAGTTTCGGTCGAAAATCAATTATAACCGATCTTAAAATCAATAATTTCCATTATTTATTTATTTAAACTTTAATGTACACAAAACAAGTGATGGTACATAAGGCGGACATTAATGCCATATGGCATTCTCTCCAAGTCAACCTTAGTTAAATAGGAAATCGGCATTTCCTATTTAAAACGGCATTATCTAGCAGATCAGAAGACAGATCGTATTTAAATAGAAATAAAAGGGGAAACGAGCAAACAAATCACTCTATGGTAAGCAATCGCTTACAGACGCCGCTTGGAACAATTGAACAAAGATTACTCTCTTTGATTGGTGGTTTAATAAAGATCGTATCGGTTCGGAAATATCACATTGCGACGATTCATTCCATAGTTTTAATGTGTCAGGCAGAAAGACTGGAAGAAAGGATGGAACACTGCTATCACGCGGATCGCACCAGATACTTTCTCGGACCATTTTGAATAGTATCTATCTTGAGACAATATAAAATTCATTATATTGCATGATATTGTCTCACGATGGATTCTATTAAAAAGTGGTTTGGCCTTACAGAAAACCAGCGAGAAACAACTACAGCGTTGTGTTTCGCCGTGTGAGTGAGGTTACCGGAGGCCCAATTCTTCCCCTCCCCCCAATCCCTCCTCATTCCCAAGATCTCCGGGTCCCTAATCCCCAGAAGGTCAGCAATGCATTCGTAACTCCTCCGTCATTGCGGGTGTCCATGGGCGGCGCTGATTGCTTACCGTCACTGACCGTCAGGTACCTAATCCGCTTGCTCGTTTGCCGACCTATCACATAAAAAAATTCAACAGCTGATCAAGTCTTTATTTTCGAAGATTTTTCTAAACATAACATTTGTTTCTTTGTTTCCAGGTGGTAAGTAGGTCCACAAGGGTACCACCAGGCGTGATGCGTGTTTATTATCACAGGGATAGCAAGCATAAGTCAAAGGTATTGCACAAATAATAGTTAACAACCGCTGTTGTCACGGCCAGATGGAGGATGCTTCCTTCAACCTATTTTTTTGTGAGGGGAAAATCATCAAATGACTCTCCCGCTAGTGTCAGACTCTCATTGACTAAAAACCTTCCCGTTGCGTCCTGTACTAGGCCGAGGCCGCGGTGACCCATTCCGCTTACTTCGCAACTAAGGCCATTCCTAGCTAATAGAGCTACCCCGAGGAACTGAGGCAAACTAGCAATAAATAATCCTATATATAATCCTACCTAGGTGGCGAGTTCTAAGCCTCACAGTGGGTGTGATCAGTGAAGCAGACATTAAGTTTGAAAAAAAAAGAATTGCTGTTTTTTATGTGATGGTAAGCAATCAGCGCCGCCCATTAACAACAACAACAGAGGAGTTATGAGTACGTTGGGGATTGGGAATTTGGAGATTTAGGGGAAGTATTGGACCTCCTGCTGTTTGATTGATATATTTTGTTTTCAGTTAAAAGATGACATTTATGATCAGCCCGTTAACTTGATGAATAAGAAGTCCCCACATGCTAAGGTCAGTTATCCTAACTTCTAATAGTCCTTATAAAAACTGGAACTAGGATTTCACATACACACCACACATCATCTGCCTATAAGTAGCCACTGTTGAGCAAAGCCCTCTTCGCACACAGAGAAAGTCTGAGCGCTTGTTCAAGGTGGATTGGCAATTTCACGATGTTTTCCTTCACCGTATGTCAGTGGTGTTTAAACCATTATAGAAAAGTACATTGTATAACTCGGAAAAAGTCACTTTGGTACTTGTCAAGTTCTGAACATCCTAAAGCGGATAATTAAAGATCAAGGTCCAAATGTCAATTTTCTCTCTACTAAGTAAAGCTATTCGAGATATTACTAAAATCCATCGGCTGATATTTTACAATTTCCTGTGATTCGACCAAAAATCTAACAAAATAATCTACACTTCACTATGGGATTTCTCCCCAAACTGCCCTGTCTGCACAAACTCTCGAATATACCAAAACAAGTGGACAGATCTCCCGGTTGTAAGCAAATTTTGATTGTTAAACCTTTTCTTTTCTCAGGAGGAGCCTTCAGACGTTCGAGGAGAAACAAACCCTGATCCCTGGTCTCCGTTCGATTTCTCCAAGTTCGACAAATACCTGAACGATTACAAGGATGGCGACAAGCAAGATACCTCACCTGAGCACAACCGCATCAAACGAAGAGCTCGGGTTAGTAATTTGTTTATCAGGTATCACTACATAGTTAAAACTAAAAGTAGCTTTCTCTGTCCTTATATCCCTATCAATGGTTTAATCTTTAAAACTACGCAACGAATTTTGAAGCGATTTTTTAATAGACTAGCATCCGCGCGCGTTTTCCCCCTTGTGGTATGTTGATAAAAAGTAGCCTATGTCCTATTTCGAAATGTATCCTATGCCTGTGCCAAATTTCATACAGATCCGTCTAGCCGTTTGACGTAATTGAGTAACAAACATCCAAACATCGTAATTTTTGCATTTATAATATTAGTAAGATAGAGTGATTAAAGAAGAAGGTCTATATGTATAATAACATCTATTAAGTAGTTCAAAAATTTAGCATCAGCATTGCATTCGAGCGAAGTCGGGGCGGATCGCTAGTAACTATTTTTTTGGTCTGTAATTCGTTATGTCCATTCAAGATGTTCTGTCAGGTACGAAGAGTTTTAAAATGCAAATCTATCAAAGTTTTGGCTGATACAGAACTTATACTGGTGATCTTGTGTTCGGTAGCCACGTTTTTACGGAACAGAACACAGAGAAACTTCTTTCTTTAATCGGATGCTTAATTTAAGCAAGAAAAAATGCGGAATTTCGTCTGTCGCGATTTAATAAGTGCTATCTTGGCTGTTTTTTTTTGCAATTTATTATAGTCTTTACCGAACTCGAATCAGTGATTAGTGTTCCATAAACCAGTGAAATTACGCGAAAACTGTGAATTCATCTCTTGAAATAAAAAACGAACGCGAAGTTCTTTATATTTTCCAAAAAAAAAATCGGATACAGCAAACAGCCCCGTACATTCCACCTGGAAATTAGAATCCAAATTGACAAGACACATTTTTCTGCCGCAGAACGTGAGAAAATTCAGTACGATGCTGGGGCCACAGCTTCGGGAAAGACCACACCACTACACCTACCCTGAACCAGTCAAAGACCGTATAATGGAATTCACCACCACGACAAAAAAACCTGGCATCATGCCGGACCAGATGAACCCTGGAGTGATATTTAGAGTGCGAATGTCGGATGCCATTCTTCGCATTAAACAGCGGATGTACGAAGACCCAGAGAGGCATATAGAAGCTGATATAATCTACACGAATCTGATTAAAAAGGTGGTTATGGATGAGATAACCAAGTTCCACAACCTGCTCTTGATGTACAAGACAGATAAGAGTATAAAGGAGCACTTAGGAGAATGTGGAGGAAGGATCTATAAGTTCATTAGCTACATGACCATTAAAGTTCATATTTATTGTCTGTTTGACGCTCTGTGGATTGATGGTAACCCATATGTGATTGGTGATGAGTATTCCGTCACTCCAGTTGAAGTCCCTCCGATGTTGCAGTGTGATGCAGCGGAATGCAATTCTATAGTGTTCGTTGACTCAATCACTGAGCCTAAAGATGTTGAGGAGTAAACTGCAATAAAGTTATTGATTGCCATGTTTTTTGTTTCATTTTTATTCGTAGTTTAAGCTGATATCAGACAGATAAATCTATACTAGTATTATAAAGCTGCAGAGCCCTAATCTCCGAAACTGCTCGTTCGAATTGAATAATTATTTTTGTGTTTGTTAGTTCATTTACAGAGGAAGGCTCATAGGCTATGGAAATTAGACATGTAAGAGCCAAGCAATTATAAAGATAGCTTTAGACTGATGGATGTAGGTTGCTTCCAACGGGCCGATCTGTATGTTTTGATTGACTTCTTAAAGCTGGTATGGTAATGTTAATGGAGCTGGTTCTTTATATGTTTTTAACAAGCCGAGGAAGCGTGATAATTGCTCATCTGTTTGTAAGCAACTGGCACCGCCCATTGACAGCTCTTATTCTACGAATGTGTGAAGTGTGGAAGAGCCAAGCTTCCGCACGAACGTGACATCTCCGGCCCGGCGTGAAACAACCACAGCGTTGTGTTTCATCGTGTGAATGAGATTACCTGTGGCCCAATCCCTCCCCTCCCCATCTCTGAAACCCTACTCCCGAAAAGGCAGGCAACACAACTCCTCTGGCATTGCGAGTGTCTATGGGGGGCGCCGAATGCTTACCATCAGATAATCCATCAGCTCATTTGCCGACTTATCATCTAAAAAAATCATTCATCGTTGTAATCAAAAATAAATTCCTACTATCAATCAAAATAAGTAAATAACTAATACTATTTAGTTAATTCTGCTGAACATCGAGCTCAGTGGCGTGCATATTGTGAGGCCTATGTGCAGCAGTGGGCGAAATCAGGCTGATAAGGATGTCGAATTTTGCGTAGGAAAGCATGCTTCGGGAGGAAGTAAAACAACGGTCTTTTTCTTACAGAGGCGACGTGGCCGCGGCGGCAGACGGCGTGGTCGTCAGCGAGTCACCACCAACCCACCAGATGATGATGTAAGTACTTAGGCTGAAGTCTAGACTTTCTGTCCGTAGACGAATGGCTGTCCCTCCCTCATCAAGGCTAAGCGCATTAAGGCATCGCGGCCTCGGCCTTGTACAGGAGAAGGAACAGGGGATTTTTAGTCAGTAACAGTTGGGCTCTTACTTCCGCGCAAACCTGGGCGGGAGAAGACATTTGATTATTTTCCCCTGAAAAAAAAGGGTTCGAATGGAAGCGATCTCAATCAATTCGTCTGTCCACTCTGATGAAGACTCTTCTCTTCAACTGCCCTAGACACATTATTAATGTATGTATTGCCTGATGGTAAGCAATCAGAAGGAGTTACAAGTTCGTCGTTGACCTTTTGGAGGTAGGATTTTGAGGGTTAATTAGTTTTTTACTAATTGATGTGATTTTGAGGGTTAATTTATAAAGATAGGAGACTTCAACGCCAGACCTGTACGTCCTTCCTGAGTTTGCCACCCTGAACCGTCGCCCCATGCAATAATGGCAATAATTTCTGTCCAATTTCAGACGCTCAGTACGTTCAGTAGCGCTAAGCTATTACTGAGCTATTTTCGGTAATTGAGAAATCCAAATAAAACTGCTCCCGAACCAGCTAGCATGTTTTCCATAAATAAACTAAAATTCATGTCAAATTGCTTTTCAGAAATCTCACGTAAGTACTTACTTAGGAGTGAGAGGAAAAGGGAACCCGTTTCTTCCTTCTGCGAATCGGTTAAAGTAGTCACGCGCCGTGAGGGCATTATTCTCCTCATGTCTCAGCCGCCGCAGAAGACCCTCTAAGCGTCGGGGATCGTGTGACGATAACCGGGAACCGTAAGCACCATTTCGAGAACCGAGAGCAGGGTGTGTTTAGTAGACCATGAGAGAGGTCCACTAGAGAATCGGCCATTTCTAGCCAGGGTTCAGGCGGAACCCAACGCGTTAATGTACAGCAGCTCCGGCCCAGAGCAGAAAAAGGAACGTGGTGATTTTTAGTCAGTAAGAGTCTGACACTCCCTCTCAACCTAGGTGGGAGAGGTAATTAGATGATATCTCCCCTCAGTCTCTTTTGTGGCTTTAAGGCTAAAGTCATTCTGTCTTCTGCATTTAATTCATAGAGGGAAGTTGAAACTTTAGTTTTTTCTTCTTTTTGAATAATATTTTCTAATTTATTTCGTTGCGGGGATCTCATGCCCTGGGACGCGTTGGACTTCAGTGCTCCGGTTTTTTCATGGTTGTATCTATTGTAGATCCTGGTGCACAGGAGTTGTAGCGGTTTTGGGAGATTGTGGCGGCCTTGTCCCAAACACGATCCCCCTTCCAAAAAGAACCAATTTAAATTGATTTACCTTGTTATGTAGACCTTAAGTAGTTAATTTAAAAAGTTGGATTTATTTTCAGTCCAAGAATGGCTCCAGTACAGAAGTACCGATTGCTCGCGCCGCTGATATAGACAGAAAAGGTCCAGTGAACCGGTCCCCTCACTTTGACATGTACGAACCACCTGGCAAGGTAAAACGGACTGTATTTCATTACATTATTATTTACTGAACAACTTTAGGTTTTTCGGCATTTTAAGATTTTTTTATAGGTCGGCAAACGAGCGTACGTATTACCTGATGGTAAGCTATTACCACCTGGTAATCGGACAGGTCGTTTGCCAAACTATCATAATACTAGCTACTCTCGCGCGGTTTCACCCGCTGCTCGGCTCCATTTAATCGTAGCGTGATGTTTTATAGCCTACAGCACTCAAAGCATTGTAGCTATCTATCAGTGAAAGAATTTTGGCAATCCGACCAGCGGTTCCAAAGATTACCCCCTACATACAAACTTACAAATTTTACCTCTTTATAATATTAGTAAATCCGTATAAAATCCGTGCGAAGCAGGTGCAGTGAGGTTCGTAATAACTGTTATTTGCCCACACAGGTACAACAAGTATCTAGTATTTATGTGACACCAGTTCCTATACCTGTAATTATAAATACCTACTTGTAATACTGAAACTTCACGATCTCTTTCAGGAATGGGAATCAGGCTACGTGGAGATGCCAAAGGATTTATACCAAGCCCATTTAAGACCAGGAGTCATTTTTAGGATTCATATGTCTGAAGCCATACTCAAAATGCAGTATAGAAAGTAAGTGATACAAGCGTTTTTTGTGCTTTTTATTTATAGTAATAAATTAGGCGCATTGTTTTCTGAAATTGGCTAATGGGCAGATGGGGCATCTAATGGTAAATATTCACCTTTAACACAAGGGGACCGGAGGATGGCAAGTGCGTTGTTAGCGCTTTGGCGATATGATCAATAATAGAAAAAGTTAGAGATGGAGATTGTAGAAGACCAGGTCTCCCGTAACCTCACACCGTTCTTTGACGCCGGTTTTCGGTGAGGCTTTTGATATTTGCTCCGGTCGAGCTGGCCCATTCGTACTGGAACATGATCCGCACTCACTTTTTTGGAGTGGCAAAAATAAGCTTATTACTTCTCAAGCCCGAGGTAAGGCGAATGGTAGTGTCTAACTCTTTATGATTAAAGACTAGGCCGCGGCAGCTTATTGCTTTTGTCCCGAAAACTTAAAAAGCTGTGTAACTATAATCAGAAACCCGTTTACGTGTGTCTCAACGTTATCAGTTAATTAAACAGATGTTTGATTGGCCCTCGTTTTATATGGCTATTATATTATAAGAAATTATGAAAGTAAACCCTAATAATAGAAACACTAGCATCAAAATGTATCGCTTATTTTTGATGGGATTAGTCGGAAAACGAGCAGACGGTTTACCTGATGGTAAGCAATCAACACCGCCTATGGACACTTGTAATACCACAGGAGTTACTCCAAGTTCGTTCCGCCCTTTTGAGGTTGTTGGGGGTTTAAGAATGCGGAATTTGGGGATGGAAATTGTTTGGAAGAACGTTTATCATCCTTCTTTTTCTATCGCCTGGTGCGAGAGGGAGTGGCAGATTCTTTCTGGGTAAAAAATACTTATATCCTTCTCCAGCTCTGAGCCACGCCATGGTCAATATTTGAGAACCCGTTTAAAAAGCTATTAAAAAAACACATTTATCTTCATTCTTCATCTGTCCTTCCAGTTACGGGGAAGACAAAGACGAATCTGTGATCGAAGCTGATGTAGAATACCTTCGGTTGACGAGGAAGGTCATCAACGATGAGATCACCAAGTTCGAAGACCTGCAATGGCTGATCGGGTGGTTCCACAACAGATCCGAGTTAATAAAGGAACATTTGTGCAATACTAGATATTATACTGTTGGTAAGTTTTATTCCTGGAGGCGTTTTTATTCTTGGGAGATGGGTCGGCAAACGAGCAGATGGATTAGCTGATGGTAAGCAATCTGCGCGCCAATGGACGCCCAACACCCGAGGTGTTACAAGTGCGGTCCTGAGCTGTAAAGCTAAGGGTTTTAAGGAGTGAATTGGGAATACTCACACAGCAAAACAACACAAGAGTTATTAATACAGGTTTTCTGTGAGGCCGTGGTATCTCTCTAGTCGAGCCGACCCATTCGTTCCAAAGCATGGCTCTCCCGCGCTAATAAAATTGACTTGATACTCGTCTCGAATATGATGATGAAGATGATGCCTTGTTATGCGATAGGACGGCAAAAGAGCAGACGGATAACCTGATGGTAAGCAATAACCGCCCATGGACATCCGCAACAACGGAGGAGTTACCAGTTCGTTGTCAACCTTTTGGGGATTAGGGTTTTGAGGACTACGTGAATTGGGGATGATCAGACAACAAAACAACTTAAACGTTTTATTTGCCGGTTTTCTGGGACATTGTGGTAGGTATCACTCCAACTGAGCCCTACCGTTTTTTTTTATGTAATGGGTCGGCAAACGAGCCGACGGATTACCTGATGGTAAGCAATCAGCGCCGCCCATGGACACTCGCAACGGAGGAGTTACGAGTGCGTTGCCGACCTTTTAGGGATTAGTGATTGAGGAGGGATTGGGGAAGGGGAAGGATTGGGCCTCCGGTAACCTCACTCACACGGCGAAACACAACGCAGTGGTTATTTGACGCCGGTATTCTGTGAGGCCGTGGTATCAAACCGTGCCGAAGAATGGCTCGCCCACACTAATACAATCTCGAATATGATGATTACCGTCCCATTTTCTTTGCAGGAACTCCACCAACGATGTTCACCCACTCAGAAGAGTATATGAAACGACTATGTCTATTTGATAGTGTTTACATTGATCACATACCCTATGTTATTGGCGAGGATAGCTCAATAATGGCAGCAGTGGCGCCCCCTGTGTTACACTGTGATGCTGCTTCTTGTACTTCTGTGCCGTTTATTGACAGGTAAGGTTATTGGGTTGCGGGGTAAACGCAATAAGGCACCGCCGCCTCGGCTTAGAGCAAGAGAGGGAATGGAAAGTTTTTAGTCAGTAAGAGTCTGACACTCTCTCTCGCCCTACCCTGGGCGGGAGAAGTCATTTAATGATTTTCCCCTCACAAAAAAAGGGTCCCGGACCTTTGGAAGGCGTACGAGAAGCCGAAGCCAACTCGCAGAGGCCCTTTGAACAGTGAAATGAACAACTTTAACATTAGCCGGCAATTATCCCTGTACGCACTACGAAAGTGCACCCAAGGACAATCCCGACTTGATGCAGGAATATTATTTATCACTATCGCATATCGAATAGGCAATAATGTAACTTTTTTTAGTTAGTGGTGAGTGCACACGCGACGGTAGCTTAAAAAATGGAGTAACGTAACTCCCGTTTTCCCAACATTTACGTTCACTGCTCTGCTCCTATTCATTATATTATACTTTTTGTATAGCATGATGAAAAGTATACTATAACCTTCCCAGGATTATGAAGAATAATTTTACCGAGTTTCGTTAAAATCTGTCGTGTAGTTTTTGTTTCTATAAGGAACAAACAGACAGACAAACACAAAATTTTACAGATTGCATTTTTGGCGTTGGTATCGGTCACTTATCACCACCTTTTGTTGTGAGTGGGGAAATCATCAAATGACTTCTCCCGCGAAGGGTCGGGCGAGAGGGAGTGTCAGACAGACTCCTACTGGCTAAAAACCCCCCGTTCTTCTATTGCTCTGGGTCGAGGTCGTGGTGCCTCATTGCGCTTACCCCGCAACCACGACTGAACATCAGCCCTAATAGGGCCCCGTCTATAGTGGTCTAACGCGCACTTATCAACCCCTGGTTGTCATTCTGAAATATTTTTGATGACTTGATATATTTCGTGTGCAGAATTGACCTCTCTACAGATTTATTATAAGTACCTATAGAAATAGATTATTTTTATTTCAGCGTAATGTTTGACGAGCGCCTGCCAAGGACGAATGTGCGAACTCTCACAAGATGCCAAGCATCATGTCGGGCGCATTGCCGAAACGACCCCGATTGTCTAAAGCGGTGCTCCGACCGCTGTCTACGATCCGATTAGCAGTGGATATTACTGAATAATAAAACAATTGGAACTTATTTTATTTTATTTATAAACTTATCTACTATAAATTGTCCCGTTCCTTCTTCAGTTCTAGTGTAACTATTGAGCTTAAACCGCAACCCCAGCTGCATTCATATAATAATTAAGTGTGGGAGAGCCATGCTTGAGCACGAATGACTCAGCTCGACCGGAGTAATACTACGGCCTCACAGAAAACCGGCGTAAAATAACCATAGCGTTGTGTTTCGCCGTGTGAGTGAAGTTACCGCACAGGCTCAATCCTTCAACCTCTCCCCAATCTTTAAATCTTCAAATCCCTAATCCCCAAAAGGTCAGCAACGCACTCGTAACTCTTCTGTTGTTGCTTTAGGTGTCCATGGGCCGCGCTGATTGCTTACCATCGGGTAATCCATCACATAAAAAATAAGTATGTTAAACGCGAAAGTTTGTAACTATGGTAAAAACAAATGAGCTGATCTGAATGAAATTTGGCACAGAGATAGATTATAGTCTAAAATAATACAAAGGTTAGGTTCTTTTGGTACCCTGGTCTGTACGTAATACGGTACCTAATTACCTATAGTAGAATCTAGTACAGAAATAAGAAGCAACTAAATTTAATTAGAAAATAAATTCTCCACTTAGGGTAGACTGGGTACGGTTGAAACAATTTGGCATATTTGGTTTATAATTTTGTCATTTATTAACCAAATGCTCATTATGATACATAAAATTCAAATATGAAGTTTTAGCTACGATATGGCAGTGTCATTGTGGTTCTCAAATTACTATTTTTGGAAATATGTGAAATTAAGAAAAATTTTTATTTGTTTCAACCGTCCCCATGCCAGGGGCGGTTGAAACAGCGATTGGGGTCAATTGAAACACATAAAAATAAAACGATAAATACTAATGAAATATTATAATTAATACTAATAATATACTAATAATATACTAAAATTAATACTAATTATATGAATAATTATCACAACATTAATCAGTATTCAAGATTTTAATACTTCTCAAACGTTTATCAGCCTTTGACTAATACCTAGTAAAGATTTAGAGTAATTACAAAAACAGAATTAAGGTATCAGAATAAACTTTAAAAACAAATAGACTTTGAAAAAAAAACTAATTAACAGACATTTCTAAAATTAATAAAATAACCATTGTGAATAAACTAAACGAAATATTTTTAAATCAAATAAACTAATAAAGAAACCCCTGTTTAGATGAAATAAACATGGAGAATTAACTTAGAGAAAACATTTAGCTTAGGCATTAATCGGAGTATTCAGAGTCGGAATTATAACAAACGTAGCTAAGACCACCTTCTGTGCATTCTTCATGTGCCCACTGTTTATACAAAGTACATTGAATCCACTTCTCATATATAGGCCAAATCGTCACCACCGGTCGCATCTCGCTTTCGAATGTATCGGGGAACATGGTGTATACCATGCTTTTCCGCCACTTTCCGAAAGGTTTCTCCAGCTTTTACCTCCTCATATGCATAACTATAACTCGATAAGTCAATGTTCCCTCTAGAAGTCTTCCTTATCCGAACTCACGGCATCTACAAAAAAAAAAATCTGTTTCAACCGTACCCACAAAAAATGTTTCAACCGTCCCCAACCCCACTTTACGTATAATATACTCTATATTTACGACAGTAATCATAATACATTAAAAATAGTCACTATTCCTTATTCTACAAGCATCGTAATAATCGCAAACACACACCTTAATACATTCACTTAAAAATAACAGATAATAAAAGCGTTAATGTCAGGAGAAAAATACTTACTTTTGTGTAATAAAAATCAATATGGCGTCCTGCACACAACCTCAACGCGCGGGCTGTGGAGCGGCACCATAGATTATACACTATAACTGAGCGGCACTGTATTCGGGTTCGGACCTGTCGTCCGCTTATTCTTCCCCTTACACCCCATATTCCCCGCGTAACCATTTACGAGATATTTACTCTGTTTCAACCGTCCTTTGTTTCAATCGTACCCAGTCTACCCTACTTTGCAAGATCTTACCCAATTTCCAAACAATATCCATGGCAAATTAAATCACAATTGGTTCAGAGATTTCGGAGATAGGTAAATCAGAACAAACGAGTCGATAGTTTCGCATTTTAAGTAGAATGAAAATCTAAATTTTACGCTCTATATTTTGCACTAGCAATTCTCGCGCGGTTTTACCCGCAGCTTTTTTGTTATGGAATAGGAGGCAAACGAGCAGACGGATCACCTGATGGTAAGCGATCGGCGCCGCCCATGGACACCTGCAACACCAAAGGAGACACAGGTGCTTTGCCAGCCTTTTAAGAAGGAGTACGCTCGTTTCTTGAAGGTCGTATCGGTTCGGGTCCGCCAAAAGATCATTCCAAAGAGCTCGGCTCCGAACTAGAACATTGTAGCTATCTACCAGTGAAAGAATTTTGGAAATCCGACCAGGCAGCGGTACCAAAGATTACCCCCTACATACAAACTTTTAAATTTTACCTCTTTATAATATTAGTATAAATATAAGTAGATAAACGTCATCGCTTCATGGTAGGTATCCCATCCACACGAAGCAGTTCTCCTCCAGTTTATAACAAGAACCGCTAAGGAGTGGATTTCTTTGCCGTAGTCTGTGTTCCCCGAAGGGTATAACCTGGGTGTCTTCAAGGCCCGAGTGAATATGTTGCTTATGCGTAGACGTGCTCATCGTAGTTCGCATTAATGCTTGACCATTACGAAATAAATAAAAAAAGTTCCTGTGATCAGACAGAATTCACGCTTCATTAGGTAGTGCCGTTTGATGAATAAAAATCCGATCAGCCAGTTCACACCGAGATGCGATACAACAGTACCTTGGAAATCTGGACTTGTCATTTCTAATTATAAGTTTAAAATCGCCAATCCACCTTGGACGAGCCTGGTGATTAATGCTCAAACCTTCTCCGTGTGAGAAGAGGCCTTTGCTCTGCAGTGGGCACTTATAGTGATGATGATACTGACTTTCTTATATATCAGAAACTAAGTATGACTATGAATTAAAAAACACATATCGGCTTAAATAAACATTTAATATATACATTTTTCATTGAAACATTTTAACATTAAATTATGTATAAATAAGCTATACAGTTATATATTTTTCTATATAAGAAACATTTTAAATATATATAAATATTACTATATAATGTATATTTGTACGTTTAATATTATTGCTATATATATCAACACAAGAATCCTTTATTTTCCAACTAGTCAAATTCAATACTTTTATTGATATGTCAAAAACAATTCTTTTGCCTACGAATTGTAAAAAAACTGTATGACATTACAAATTATATGACGCCATATTTGTTTTACGTCAAACAGAATACTTAGATCTGAAATATTAGCTAGATACAATCCAAAATTAATTATATAGCAGCGCTGTTTTGCCGTGTTCCCCTATCCCTTCACAATTCTGAAACATCCGAAACCCTTATCCCTAAAAGGCCGGCAAAGCCGTTTCGTGTTGTTCATGTCCATGGGCAGCGTTGATTGCTTACCATCAGTTAATCCGTCTGCTCGTTTGCCGAACTAAAATAAAGTTGAAAAATTATAAATTGAATTGGGTAGTTTCCTAGGTCAAAAATAAATTAATTCGACGTTTCAATACAATAAAATATTGAAAAATAACTATAGGTATACTTTTAATTATTGATCTGTCGACACACAAAATTTTCGATAATTTTTACTTAATTTTTGAGAAATAAGTAAGCTATTTGACGCAAAAATACTATGACGTCATAATTTGTAATTTTATACAAATTTCATAGAAAAGTATCGTTTTTGATATTTGGATATAAAAGTATTGAATTTGACTAGTTGTAAACTACCGTACTTATTTCAAGTTACTGACATCATTGTTCAGACCCAGCCTAGTTTTGATTGATAACTTTTGCAAATTCACCAAAATTATTACAGCATTTTCCATGAAAGAAAAACATTATCTTTTTCTAAAATTAAAATGGCAATGGATCCAATATTGGGCAATATATTATATTGGAAACAATCCATTTTAAATTTTGTAACCCGTGCCGATAAAGAATAGGATTAGAAATGGCGGCGCATCTATTCACCTCTCGCTCGCACACTATTTCCGTCTATACTCACACTCGTTGGTACCGACTGACAAAAAAAAAAATAACGACTTTGATTCTGCGTGCGCGTCTTCCCCTTCAGTGATATTTATTCATTTAAAAGTTCACAATATAATCTTTACAGGTGTTGAGAATAATGAACAAAATCAAACTTAAAATTAAGATCATTTAAATTAAACTACATAGTCAAAGAAAATAAAGAAACATGTCCAAGAGAAATTAAAATAATTAAAATATTGACACGGTAATTGCCTTAATATTGGCTAATTTAATTATGCTTTTAAATATGTTATACGGCAGGGTTTCGACTACCGTACCATTAATTTTTATATATTTTTTCTACGACATTTTAAGTTCAACATGACAAGATTAAACATAAAAAAAACAAGAGACAAGTTAATAACATACACAATAAATGAATATTTTAATTCATGAAATAACGAAACACTTTTAACGGAACGTAATTATTATTAGTTACATTTATTGTTATTGCATTTTTATGCTGACGCTCCCAGCTCAATGAGCCGCCATTTCTAATCCCATTCTTTATCGGCACGGGTAGTTAACTTGATCTCCAACTAATGTGCCAAACCCAGGTTTGGCACTCTTCCATATAAGAGGGGTTAAAAGCTCCAGAGCTTTTAACCCCTCTCATATGGAAGAGACAGGAGAACCAAAATTCAGTAGCATTCTTTTCATTAAGGAATGGGTCGGCAATCGAGCAGACAGAGACCATTTGTAAACATCCGCAACACCAAAGGGATTTGGGGACGGATTGGGCCTCCAGTAACCTCATTCACAACGCTGTGGTTGTTTCACGCCGGTTTTCTGTGAGGCCGTGGTATCACTCCGGTCGAGCCGACCCATTCATGGCTCTTCCACACTTAAACCATTTAAATTATTGCTATAACTTCTTACTATCAATCTGATTGCCATTCTGATAAAGATCACCGATAGCTTGTTTCTCCAGATAGTCTCCTATGACCACATTTATCTTCTGTCGACCTGGTCTTTGAGGGGGGGTGACGATGTCATGCTGGCGGAGAAGGTGCTTTTTCCAGTAGCATCGGCGGGTGAAGCAAGCGTGGCATACGTCGCATTCGAACCTGGAATGGAGTGAAGATATTTATGTTAAGTTGCTGTCACCATGCTGTGTTAGTGTAGCGATGGATATCAGAAAAGACCATATAGAAATCTGACTGCACGGTTGGAGGGGTGGCTGGCCAACATATAACAAAAACTTGTTTCCATCATACAAGAATATACTTTGCTAGTCTATTCTAAGCCAAATCTCACCTTCCAGGCCTCAAGGTTCAAGAATAATAGCTAGGTATTTTGTTTGGTCTTTTCAATAGACCGTAACTGTCTACTGAAATATTAACTTAATTGAACGATTTAGATAGTCTATTGTCCTACTTAATAATCAAAACGAAAGGCCAAATACTTATTTTACGTGGTCTTACAACTCATCTTTTCTCATATGAAGCTTGTTCTATTATAAAAGACCGTCTACTATAACTCAATCTCTTAATCTTAAAATAGGCACCTACCACCACTAGCTATTTCATTCGGTCTATCAAATAATAGACCGTCTAATTAAGGCCCGAGATCTAAATGACTCGGTCTTCTATAAAAAGACCGTCTACTATCTACTCAACACTCACCTTTTGATTTCAAAATGTGAATCCAGATGTCTATTAAGTTTGGTCTTCTCGAAGAAGGTGCGTCTACATAAATTACAGTTGTACAGTCTTTCGTTCATGTGTTGTCTTCTGATGTGGCTGGTCAGGTTCGAAGATGTATGGTAGGAGGTACTGCAGTATTCGCATTGATAGAGTTTTAGACCTGAAAATGTTTAGAAATGGGATTTGTTTGAGCCTAAAATGGAAATTGCCACTTATGATGTCGTTAAGAATGGTTGGTTTTGACAGGGTTGCGGGTGTAAGATTGATAATGTTCCGAGGCCCAGGTCGGAGCAGGATAAGGAACGGGGTGATTTTTATTCAGTAAGAGTCACATGGCAGTCCCATCGTACCTTATAATACTTTGAAGACATTACAATACATAATTAATCTAAACTTCGTCCATCAGATAAAACGAAGACTTATGAAACTATACAATTTCTTGGCCGCATCACTTGAAGGTGCAGATACAATTTCGTGAAATAAACCTGTATTGTTCTTAATTAGACCTAAGTCTTTAATCAATTTATCCCTCTCATGCTGAAACCGAACACATTCCGTTAAGAGATGGACAACGTCTTCCACCGTATCACACACCTCACATTTAGGTTAAGCACATTTTTTCATTAAAAAGGCAAAGTCATTACGCGGAATATGCCCAGATCTCAGCCTAACAGCTATTACCAACAATTTTTGACCCATTTTAACATTTGAAAACCATGGTATGCGAGGAGGTTCACAGACTATAGTTTTGATAGTTTTGTACCATATGACCTTAGATCTTGATCGCAAATTAAAATATTATATAAAATTTTGATGACCGAAATTTTTCTTATAACCCGTCTTTTACTTACCAGCGTGTATCCGCACGTGCTTGACTAGGTCAGATTTGTGCCAAGTCTTATAATCGCATTGATCGCACCCATAGTTCGGAGGTTGGTGTGATTTTATATGGGTATAGTGTGAAGCTCTGTGGATAAACATTTTACCACACACCTGGAAGGAAAGAAGTTACACATCATCAGTCTATAAACACACACAGACAAGGTTTGAGCATTAATCATTTAAACGGTTCCATCCCCATCGCAAAGATGGGTAAGCAGTCAATAACTGCGATTTACGCAAACTTTCTACAACAGAAAAACTTTGACATTATCTTACGACGGCGGTCTTTCCGAAATACGACCTTTAAAACTTCAAGAAACGATCGAGCTCCTTCTTAATAGGCCGGCAACGCGCCTTTGACGTAGTAATGTAAGGGTAGCCCGCCGCCCGACCAGAACCAGACCCGAGCGGAGGGGGCCTAGCGTTTCGCGTGCGTTTCCATTTCCTAACAAAAATACCCAGACGTGACCCAAAACGAATGATCAGAAAACGTTGCTCTGGTTGCTACAAAACTTTTAATTGAAGAAGGCCGTACACCAACGGAAGCAGCTAAAAAAAGCTAAGAAAACAGATATAGAGTGTCTAGTGTGCCAAAAAGCTTTTTGTCTTAATTGTTTCAATAGTTACCATTAAATTTAATATAATAAAATAAGTCTTTTTTTATTAAAAACATCCCAAAATTACCTCATTTTCGATAATCAAATACTGGCAACCCCATTAAAAAAGTCCTCCGGTTTTCGCGTAGTATTTTTTCTTAGCTCATTGTTCACACGTGTGAACCGTTAAAAGTGGCTGAACTCATACGTGTTTGAAGTTATGAGCCTTTCAATTGACGAACAACTCATGACCCGTGGGTCATGCACGTACGATGAGCAACTCGGTAAGACCCACCGGTGGGGCAAGCACAGGGAACGTGTTAAAAAGCCAATAGACCATTACACAAGGGGCCTATATGGCTGATGATCAGCCGGGGTTGCGGGATAAGCGCAATGAGGCGAGGCACCGCGAGGCGACAATCCGCACAACATCACACCACAGCTCTTAATACCAACATAAAATGAAAATATCTCACCTCACAAATCCACACATCCTTATGCGCTTCTTTCTTATGGTCATCACTCTGTTCCTTTGTATCAAACTTCAGGTTGCACGGTTCACAGCATAACCGTTTGAATTTGAACTTTCTCAACCGTCTTGACTCTTTAGGAGTTCCAGCTGCTTTCCTCGGACGCCCCCTGATGCCTGGCGTAGTCGATTGTACTTTTCTGATGGAAGAAATAATGGTTGCATCGTAAAATATGTTAAATACCCTACATATTTTTAAATAGGTACCCACTTTTTTATATATAAGTACACTTGGCAGTTAGGCAGACATTCGAAGAATAAAAAAGATCCGACAAATATAAATGACTTATTAAGCCAAAAAAGGAGGTCCTTCTTAGAATTCAATTTAATTCATCATTGACTGCCTGGTTGGCGCGGTGGCTGGGCAACTGGCTGGCGCGCAACGTGTCGCGGGTTAGATTCCCGCAACAACTCTTTGTGTGATCCACATATTGTTGTTCCGGGTCTGGGTGTGATGTGCATGTGGAATTGCAGTAAGCACAATAAGGCACCGCGGCCTCGACTCTGAACAGGAGAAGGAGGGGGGGGAAGAGGGGGTTTAGTCAGTAAGAGTCTGACACTCCCTCCTGCCCGACTCTGGGTGGGAGAAGTCACTTGATGAGTTTCCCCTCAATAACGGCATTCTGGGCCGGTCAACGAATTTTTATGATAACAAATAAAATAGTTTTTAATCTCAGAATACAGAACAAATCAGAAGCCGCGTTCACTCATAATTGCATGTCGTCAAATGTGTCCAAAAACAATACGTCAATCCCCCCGCCAGCCGCACTTCCCACCCGCGTAGTGTTGCCGACAGTGGAACAATTCCCTTGGTTTGGGGTAATTTTACAACAGGAGGGTAAGATACGAGTAAACCCAACAAAATAGGTAAACTTACGATAAATGCAACAGACTAGTTGTTCACACATTTCATAGAGGTATCATAAAAGTTGACGATTTCTGGATTTGTTAATTTTAGTTACACCTACTATACACAACAAATAAAACAAAGCTTCAATAAGTACAAAGGTTTTATTGCGTTCCCTTTTGCTGGTTTAGTTTTTTATATGTATTGTCTTTAGACTCCGAACTAAAGATTAGAAGTCTACTTACTTTACTTAGTTCCTGAGATTAGCGCATTCAAGCAAACAAACAAACAAACTCTTCAGCATTATAATTAGAATAGATATATCTTAGTAGGAAATGCCGTTTTCAAACCACCTTTGTCATAAATACATATATCTCTTCAAAGTGAATTGAGCAAAATATGCTCTGTCTAGATGGTTTCCAAAATTAATCTAACCGTGCCCTTTGTATGATTTTTATTTTTTTTGTTAGTCGGCTGGTAAACTTATATGACATAGGCTCCATAGTGGACAGAAATATAACTCACAAAAAATAAATAAGTGGGTAAAATTTTCACCAAAAATGACAACACTCACAAAATGGCCGCATCATTTTAATAGAAAAATAAATCGATAAAAAAAATTCAATAATTAATTAAATATACTATTGCAGTCGATGCTTGCAGATGAAATGTAATCTTATCCACTTTTTTCGTAATTCCAGCCGCATTTTTACTCGTAGTAATAACACAAGACGGCATAATGAAATTAAAATTGATACTCGTAAACGTAAATACGTCACGACATGCCACGTGCCAAAATTGAATAATCGTAGAAATTTCATACTATTCTAGTTGAGAATGGTTTTAGTTGCTTTAGTTTGAAGCGCGATGACGCCTTCTGGTTTGTTCTGTATTCTGAGTTTTTAATATAAACTAAGCAATCAGCGCCGCACATGGTCACTCGCAAAAACGAAGTAGTTACGAGAACGTTGCCGACCTTTTCCGAGGAATTGGGGGAGGGTAAGGATTGGGCCTCCGGTAACCTCACTCACAGGGCGAAACACAACGCTGTGGTTGTTTGACGCCTGTTTTCTGAGAGGCCGAGGTGTCATTCCGTGGGTCAAGCCGACCTATTCGTCCTGAAGCATGGCTCTCCCACACTAACAGCCTTCGGTTACCGCCCTCACATATCAAAACTACATGCAAGGATTGTTTCAGGCCAGGCAAATATATTATGAGACCTAATATAATATCATACCTGGTTTTCACTTTAATCTGACTAGTTTTTTTCACTACACCATGGGCATTCTCTTCCAACTCACTCTCCGTTTTCACTTCGTTCAATTCACCATTCTTATAACTATCCTGGTCTGCGTTAACCTCATCTTTAAGCTCAATAACCTCATAATCTAAGTTTGTGAGGTCCGTTTCTGACACCTCATCCTTGATTTTAGGTATAACAAGTTTACGAAATGTTTCATCAGCTATTAGACAGGTCGTTTTGAATTTGTAAGCTATGGAGAGATTGTTTCGGCATAGTTCGCATATTTGTGTTGGCAGACCTGCTTCTTCTTTGATCTGAAAGGTACATTAAAAACCATTAGCAAATATACACACATAACAACTATTAAAAAGTACACTTTGGAACAAGCAAATAGCTTCACTAAGGGGACAGACTGACACTTTTTATCTTTAAGCTTTGTTTGACATTCAAGTCTAATTAAAATAAATTATTTTCACTTTGAATTTGAAAACTGTTATTTAATTAGCAATATGTAGTAGTGTCTGTGAAGTAAAATTTTGAAGTTGATTTTCAACCAATGTAACAGAAATATTAGTATAGACATTATTTTAACTTGTACACTTATCTTATGACTTAGGTAACTCCTAATCGATAATTAGTTTATAGTTATTAAGAAATGTTAATTGCTTTACCAAAGCTTCTTTTAATGTAAGTTAATATATTTAAGTTTAGATTTGAAAATTAATTAGACTGCTTTAATAACAAGATATTTAACTTTTTTGTGCAGTGTTAATAAAATTAGAGAATGTACACACAATTACATATTAATTTTTGATAACAGCATAAACATAATGGAACTGAGAGATGAAAACTAGACCCTAAGGGAGATTCTAGCTAGAATCTTATTTGTGGTTCTCAGTAAAACTAACAGTGGTTTTTGTCAGTAAGAGACTTTTGACACCCAGAACCCAGGGTGGGAGAGGTATATTGATGATGTTAACACCTCAAAAGAAATAAACAAAAAAGATTTTAGCTAGAATCTTATATAAAAAGAAAAGATGTTGTTTATAAAATTGATTTGGCTTACTGAGTATTAGGTCCAGATGTAGTATTTGGGATTTTAATAATTAAGTTAATTAGTGTGACTTATCATCGTTGTACGACAAGTCTACTACTACAATTTAATAGCTTATTCTGAGGAAAAAACAATCGAAATTATGTATGTATACTTACTGTGATTCCTGTGCAAAAATGTATTTCATCGACGATGTTTTCTTTATCTGTGTCGAATATGCTGCTCATATTCAATGTCTGAGCCATACAAATCCTGCAGGAGTCAATAATATTGACTACGTCGAGTTTATAAGGAACTTCGAGTTGACCAAGACTTGTTGCATCTACATCCATCGTTTTATAATTTATTTTACCACCTTAAAGCTTATATTACGTCTATATTGTAGCATAAACTAATAAATTAACTTTTTAAAAGAACACAAATTGGCATCGCTGAACATAATTTGTTTAAAATATTTATTTATTTTAAGGAAACAAAAATAAATAACTCACTGAAGAATAAAATGATAGGAAGTGTGTGTTCCATCCCCATCAATTCGACTTGATTATGATAAGCTATTGTTGTTTCAGTCACACTTAACATAAACATCATAAGACTATATCTATCTCTTTCTGTGACCAAAATTTACTATGTCACAAAATGTAAATCTGTAATTCTGAAACAAATCAACACAATGATTTTTCCGCAAGTTGAATACGTTTAGTTTCTTCACTAACCAAAATAACACAATAATCACAACATTAAGTCACAGACTCGTAGACAATTTTGAAGATGTTTTCGAATGTATACTTGTAAATTTCTCAATAAATGGCATGAAACAATTACTTTTTGCTTTCCTATCATAAAATGATTGTGATTATTTGCTACTTTTTCGTATTCTTTTAATAACTTAATTTTAAAACTAGACGTATAGATTCATTCGTTCAGAAATAAAGTAATGCGTTGTAACTATGTTTCGTTCCCTTTTTAGTGTATATATAACCAATGTAGTTGTATTATAGTCATGTAGTTACAATATTACAAAAGTTTATATTCTGACATAATTTTCAGTGACACCCAAAAGAGAAAATAAGCATTATCGAAATTAAACCGGCAAAGTGAAAACCAGTTTCCAAACTTTATCGGGAAATGGCCGCGCTGCGAACGTCAATCGTGGTGACATCGGCTAGTCGGTCGGTCGTTGTATCGTTGAAATAATAATCTCCTGATTACTTATCAGTGATTAATTGTGTTCCTATACCTGTGTGCCCCGCGCCGACACATACCGGTGAGTATTACTTCATTGATTTTGTTTGTTTAAACACGAAAGTTGTTGAAGGTATTATTATCTGGTTATCTTTATTTTAATGCTGATTTATATGAATTGATGGCTTAAATCCGATAGTAAGACGATGGTCACACTCTTCACTGATTGCGGCACGATGATAGTATTCAGTAGGTAATTTAGAATTCGTTTAAATCGATGTTAATCTGCCGTTACACTTGCGAAGTGGATCGTTTCGTTTTCCTTAGAAATAACAACTTGTATATTATTATTTTTACAAGAAGTGTAGTGCGATATAGTTTTTCTAATGTTCCTATTTAATTTAGCATTAATAAGGCAAGTTTTCTTGTAGTTTTCTGCGAAAATCCACGCAAAAATGGGTTAGTATGTTATAGGTACTTTTGAAGTCGGTAAAATGCGTTCAAAAGCCTCTAGTCGTTTTTATTTAAAGAATACATTGATTATAGTACCTATAAGATTTTTATTAAGAACTATAATAATAGAATTATTGTGCGCAATAATTCTAACAAGACAAAATCGTCTTAATTGTGTATTAATATAATGTTTTCAAATAATAAATCTAATAAGAACTTAGACATGTAAAGAAAATATTTTTGAAACATTAAATTTGATTTTAGATATGACAATATAAACTACTGCATTTTTTACAATGTCCAACTTAAGCTTAAGTTTTAGTTAAATTTGAATGTAGAACTTAATTTGTATAAACATTAAACCTTAATATAAAGCATATATCAATTACTCACATATGTGTTGGGTTGATGGTGGAATCGGCCCTGAAAACGAAGTGTTATGTTCTTATATGAGTTTCTAATAAGAATATACCTTTCTCTGGCAGCTCCTATTTTCTCCTAAATCCTCCTAAAATCCTCCTAAAATAATAGTGCGGTATATATCGCGGCAATATAAAGTCAGGGGTCAAAAATGCAATTGCACTCTTCCAACTTTAAAATGACCAAAATATCTTTGTAGAATAGAGTCAATGGTTGAGGACTGCTTTAATTTATAGCATAGAATCTAAATTATTGAATAAAATGGCTGTGAACCATTGAACTTTTACTACAAAGAAATTTTAGTCATTTTAAAATTGGTAGTGTAATTATATTTTTGACCCCTGACTGTACATCTTCCCGTTACGTTCTTGGCAATTGTTAGTGTTAAACTGTAACTGCGAATTTTGCATCGAACACATATCCCGAGATCATAGCGGTGCAAATATTATGATGGATTTTGTTTTGTCTTTTATTGGATCACAAAATAGTTGTACCTGCTTAGTGTTCTGTTTTTCACTTTAATTTTTTTTGATCTCTGCAATTTCTCTATTACCAAAGCCTCCTCATGATGCAGGGGAAGGAACTGGGTGGTCTTCATCTTAGGGTTCGGTCCCATTGAGACGGAGCAGAGAGCTGTGTTGCGATTCACCAATAACATGGCTTGAAATCCATATTTCTGATGTAGATCTATCATGAATTCAAGCCATGTGATTGGTGAATCACGGCACAGCTCTTCTCCGGCCTCAATGGAACTGCACTCTTATCCAAGGTGAGATATCTTGGATAAGAGTAGTGGTCCAACAAAAAATTAATGGGGTAGTTATTCGCAATTTGTTTTTTTTTGCAATATTTATTGGCTACCCTCAAAGATTGTTAATGTCTTAGGACAATATGGATATATCAGGTTATGTTGAGGACTACTTTTTAACTTACAAAATGAATTTTGTTTCTTTATAATATTTTTTATAATATTTTTTCCCAGTGATGCAAAAACTAATTTCTTGTACATATAGCTGGCTACATTAAAATAATTTTATCAAATAAAATGATATCATAGTAAACATGTCAAAATCATGTCTACATTATAATCTAAGAATGTTCTACAAAACTATGTTTTAAACGTTAATGTTTTGACTTGTTTAATTTCAATGGCTGGCATCTGACGTTTTTTTCCCCAAAATACAAACGATTAACACTCAGTTTCCGAAAGGCCGATCAATGTAAAAATCAATTTCATCTCTTGTCAAGTCATCTGATTGGTTGACTGAATTATCAACAACCAATCAGATGACTTGACAAGAGATTAGTTAATTTTAGCGTTGACAAGCCTTTCAGAAACCGGGTGTTAGTATAATAAATACAATTGATTGTAGCCTATTAGTAGAATATCTATTTATATATGTTCTTGATAGACACTTAAAAATAAACTAATGTTAAAAATCAATCTAAGACCAGTACTCTCAGCTAAGTAATCCAAGGAAATCAACTATTAATTTCGGTAATAAACCTAAATACACATCTTATTTATAATACTTAGCTCTTTAAAGACAGTAAACTGTAAAAGGCAAATCACCCGCAAACTTAGGTCACCGGTCACTGGCGACCTATGCTGCTGTGACAGTGTTAAAATAGTTTCATAACATAACTATAACATACATTTTCAAATAATATATTAAACAAATTAATGGATAGCAATGAAAAAAAGTGTTTAATATAAAAATGAAATGTGTTGGTAAGCGCATAACTCAATAACATCCGGACCAAATTTCCAATTTTTTTTTTTTTAGTTCATTTTGTGTTCCAACAAAAAAATTGAATGTGTAGTCGGAAACCCGTGCGAAGCAGGAGTGGTCAGTTGGTAATATAATATAATAATATGGTATATTATATATATTTATTATGCTCTATTATATTTTTAAAGCTGTACGGCCTTATTACAAAACAAGGTTTTACTTTAGTCTAGGACTAAACCATAGAGCCAGTCTTCGTATTTCGAATTGAAGGTAGATGACAATTGACAATAAGAATCAAAATTCAAAACCCGACTCAATGGTTTAAACCTGGACTAAAGATAAACCTTGTTTTGTAATAAGGGGGGTAGAGTTGTTTTGTTTGAACGCGCTAATCTCTGGAACTTATGGTTCGAATTGAACAATTATTTCGAATTTTTATTACCTAGTTCATTTATTGAGGAAGGAGGCTAAAATATATCACGCTACGATCTATAGGAATAGGCAGCGGGTGAAACCGCGCGAGAGTAGCTAGTTCATAATTGACTTGACTGCACGGTTGGCGCGGTGGCTGGGCAACTGGCTGCCGCGCAACGTGTCGTGGGTTCGATTCCCTCACGGAACAACTCTTTGTGTGATCCACAGATTGTTGTTCCGGGTCTGGGTGTGATGTGTATGTGATATTGTATGTTTGTAAACGCACCCACGACACAGGAGAAAAGTGCATAAGATAAAATATTATTTTTAACTTAATGATTCACCTTTATTAAAATTATTCACAATAAGTACTTAAATTTAGATATTTTATCGATAAGATTTAGGATAAGGCTTATGCTAATCGCTTCTTGAATTAGCGCCTGTATTAAAGTAGCTAATGAATCATTATAGATAATCAAAACATAGAGTGCGACAGCCATGCTTTGGCACGAATGGGTCTGCTCGACCGGTGTGGTACCACGGCCTCACAGAAAACCGGCGTGAAACAATCACAGCTTTGTGTTTCCCCGTGTGAGTGAGGTTACTGGAGGTCCAATCCTTGCCCTCCTCAATCCCTAATTCCCAAAAGGTCGGCAACGCACTCGTAACTCCTCTGTTGGTTGCGGTTGTCCATGGGCGGCGCTAATTGGTATTATCATCAGGTAATCCGTCTGCTCGTTTGCCGAACGTGCTGTTTGCCGAATTTGTCAGGGGAAAATTATCAAATTTCTTTCTTCTCCCGCCCAGGGTTAGGCGAGAGATAGTGTCAGACTCTTACTGACTAAAAACCGTTCCTTCTTCTGCTCTGGGCCGAGGCCGCGGTGACTCATTGCGCTTAACCCGCAACCGCGGCTGAACATTAGCCCTATAGGGCCCCGTGTGTGGTGGTCCATCGGCTCTTTGAGGCGCGCGCGGAACGGTACGCGCCGTACACTCGGGTCTGGTTCTGGTCGGGCGGCGAGCTACCCTTACTCGCCGCCCGCAGACCCGCGCTAACGGTGGCCGGAGATCATCTCTCGATCAAATGACTGCTGACGGGACGGGACGGGCCGTCTTGGGTGAAAGAGACAAAGTGTCAGACTCTTGAGCAAAAAATTACCCTGTTCCAGGCTGAAGCCGCGACGCATTTTAGCGCTTGACCCGCTGAAGCCAAATTATACTCCTCAGACTCCTCACGTGATTTTGATAGTAACTATCACACGTGAGAAGCTGCAAGTGAAGATTATTTAAGTAATCTCACACGGAGAAACACTAGTAGGTTTTTATGCTGGTTTCTCTTGAGACTATTAGATGACTCCGATCTCCGATCTCTCCTGCTTCTCCGATCTAACGAAGCATGGCTCTCCCACGCTTACATGCCCAAAAAGTTGCCCAAAGTATCCACGTGATGCAAATTCAAAGGTATGTTTAAAAAAAATCCCAAAAACCGGCTTGAAACAACCACATCGTTGTGTTTGACTGTGCGAGTGAGTTTACCTGTTGGCTAATCTCTGCCCCTCGCCCTATCCTCTCCCATTCCTTAAATATCCGAAACCCTTATCCCCAAAAGGCCGGCAACGCACTCGTAACTCCTTTGGTGTTGTCTATTGCTTTCAACCAGGTAATACGTGCGCTCGTTTGCCGACCAATCTTATAAAAAAATAATTAGAAGATCACATTGATCTCCTGTCTTCGAACGACCTTCCAAGGTATTGTTTATCACAATTTATCGTCCACGCATTTCCTAGTGTCGCCACAGAGGACACGATGTCTTTCACACGACTTTGGCGTTAACCCTATGTCGGCCGGGCCAAGGGTTATCACGAACGTGGACCGTACGTGTGGGTAAAGAGTGTTGCTGGCTGATTTTAATATTAAGACGTTTCTTCTGTCTTTTCGTAATGTTTTTGGTTCAGAATTTGAAACAAATGTTCCTCGTAAAGACAGATTTTGGATATACAGAATAGTTTGTCAGGTTTTTATGCCATTGAGGATTCGAATTTTCTCTCCTCGAGAAATATGATTTATTAATCGACCTTGTAACCACAAGGGAATAGGCACAGTTCTTTCAATTCAGGTTAAGAGGCGAGGGAGTGTCAGACTTATTGACTAAAACGCCCCAGTTCCCTCTCCTGCTCCAGGCTGAAGCCGCGGTACCTTATTGCGTTTGGTTAAACCAGTAATGATGTTTTCAACCGTCCAAAGACATCCAAATTTTTTGTGTGAACCTGTTCTGACAGTCTTACCGTTGTACTCAGAGTCATTAAATACGTACTTAACCCATAAAATCTTCGTTACTAAAGAATAATTTAAATAATCATTAGTTAGAATCCTAAGTATGTCAGACGGTGCGGCGTGGTGGCCCGGAGGTTTAATCTGGAAAGTACCAATGTGACTTTTTCCGAGTTATATGTACTTTCTATGATTATTTAGACACCATTGACTTATGATTATTTAGACAGCAGTGGACACTTAAAGGCTGATGTTGATGATGATAATGGCAATAATATTTTTTTCAGTAATCTGTACCCATATAGGTACTTATACTAATATTATAAAGCGGTAAAATTTGTAAGTTTGTATGTAGAGGGTAATCTTGGAAACCGCTGGTCGTATTGCCAAAATTCTTTCACTAATAGATAGCTATAATGTTCCTGAGTGCTATAGCCTATAAAATATCACGCTGCGACCTGTGAGAGCCGGGTGAAACCGCGCGAGAGTAATTTTTTTTTGTTTTTTTTTTAATGTGATAGGTCGGCAAACCAGCAGACGCATTACCTGATGGTAGGCAATCAGCGCCCCCCATTGACACCCGCAACGGAGGAGTTACAAGTGCGTTACCGATCTTTTAGGGATTAGGGATTTAGAGATTTAGTGATTGAGGAGGGATTGGGGGAGGGGAAGGATTGGGCCTCCGGTAACCTCACTCACACGGCGATACACAACGCTGTGGTGGTTTCACGCCGGTTTTCTGTGAGGCCGTGGTATCACTCCGGTCGAGCCGACCCATTCGTGCCGAAGCATGGCTCTCCCACATTTAGTATCTAGTAAGTAGCTAGTTTTTTTATAAAATCTTAAAGGTAAGGAAAGCATGCAGCAGCCACGTGTTCGTATCATTTACAAAATATTTTAAGTTGTGTTTGTAGTTAATGTATGTACAGTATTCTTTGCGGTAACTTGGTGTCAAGGTGGGCGCGCTTAGTACCTAAACGATGTTACGTATCAAATATTTTACTTCAAATAGTCTCCGGGTTTGTTTATGGAGGATCTGTTTTTTAGAGAGCTAGACTCTTACTGACTAAACTCCCCCCCCCCTCCCCCTCCCGTTCCTTCTCCTGCTCTCGGCCGAGGCCGCGGTGCCACATTGCGCTTACCCCGCAACCCCTGACCGGCTGAAATTTATGGAGGAGTTGTGGTTGGTAACTGTCACAGTGTTTTTTTGGTAAGGATTACACTGAATTAGTCCGTCTCA